CATATAAATTCTTCACTTGATGAATCTTATTAAATAGAAGCGTCATTGCATTTTAACGAATAGCAATTCATTTTATAAAATTGTTTTCATCAATAAGTTTCGTTATATTGAATGATAATCCTTATCGACCCACTCTGTATGTATAAAAGAGATACATAGCAAAATGCAAAAGAGGGGGGTAGAGAACATTCCTACGGTTTGGTACGTAATATCACAATCATAACCATAACCAGAACGGGAACCAGAACCAGAACCCTCGTCCATCCATCCATCCGTCCGGCTGGCATAACGTAAACGTCCTCACGCTTCGCCGGTATCAAAGAACTGGACACACCAATAATAGTAGCAGCGTTGATGTTGCGTTACTATGCGCCCTCTCCCTGTTTCCGGTTTCGGATTTTCAGGTGAATTGTTAGGCGAAACCGTATTCTTGCTTTTGTACTGAAATTTCGCGATCCACAAGATATGTTTAAGCTGCAGAATTATCTTACAAACGTTTACTCAATCCCCTAAATTTATCTCGTGTCCAAATTGACTGTTTCACTGAACTAAATTTAACACTAGCACAATTATAGTTCTATCAATTATTAGTAGTAGATATCAGTTTGTTGAATTCTATTACCGTTCTCTTCATAATTATAATCAATTGTGCAGACTTGAATTACAATCCGTTATCTCGCTATAATTAATACTATTCCCGATTCACGATCATGCAAGGTAAAAATTGTAAAGTACAACGCAGAGCAGTTAACTATTTATGGGATACAAGTATTGAAACAAAAGAAGTGAGCGAACAATACGTGTACTGCGAACTATCGGCGTGCATATTTCACAATAATTTAGACAGTGTGAGACAATTAATTTGAGAGATATGCAAGATAGCTGCGTGTAAGAGAAAGTCGCTAAGGATACAGAGCAGCGCTATCAAAAAGGAGATAAGACGTGCTACCACAGGTATCAATAGGTATTGTAAGAAGATAAGTGTATTCCCGTGAATTTCAATTTGAATCCTTATCGCGATAATAAATACGTTGCGTGTATCGGGTAGGGCTGGTTGTTAGCGATACAAAACGGAGTCGAGAATTTTCACTATTTCTTATATAAATTAAGATGATCCTCAGATTTCGAAGTTTAAATATTGAAGAACGTCGCATGAACGATGAGAGGAAGAAACATACTCGCATACTTTTGAACAAGAGAAACGGGAAAATATGCGGATAGTAATCTTTCCTTTGGGCAATGTGCAGAATTACGCGTCACCGCGTTTCACATCCCCTAATCGGTTCTTTCATATAGACATTCCTTTCTACTGTCTGTCTTTCCACTGTATTTCTTACTCGCTGGCTCTCTCCTTTGCTTTATTTTCCCACTACCTTTTAGATCCTTCATCCGAATTAATTAATAAAATACAAATATGTACAAAATGAGAAATATAGAAACATCCTTTGTGGTCAACGTACGCATACGTACAAGCGCCATAGTAAAGACACCTAAAACCTAAAACGAAACTTGGTTGGTTCTCTTTTACCCCCCGGAGAGCAGCTACCCTTAAATCATAGCTGTTTGTAATTAAGCGAATGAATGGCCTGTATCGTAGTTAATATTTGCGACATGACGCATGACGCCGCCACGGAGACAAATCCCTTATATATCATCGTAGCCCTTTATATATATATTTACAAGTACCATCTTCTGGCTTCATAATTTAGGCTTATACCCGAGAGCTCCACCAACCGTCGATTGCTAAATTTATATTTCATTACAAGTACTTAATTCAAATGCAATAATAAAATCTAAATAATTCTAACAACCGAACAACAGAAAAATGAAGTATATAGCGATTTTACCAACCAGATTTTTATCGGAAATAAAACATTTATGATATTAACTGAAAAAAAGAAAGAGATTTAAGACTTTTTACTTTTGAGGTGCTGCATGCATTCTTCATATTTTCCTATAAATCAAATTTTTCTAAACACATCAAATCCGCAGTCTAGTTGCAGTAATCGCAATTCGAAATTTATCTTGAATGTCGACTAAATAAAAGAACAACGGGATCATCACCGCGTGCAGTAAGATCGTTCCCTTCGTGATTCTCTATTTTCTCTTTCTTCGCTGCACTCGTCCTCCCCGTCCGTTTGTTCATCACTTTTTATTACCGTTGGCAGTTAGCACGTGGTACCAGTTATCAATTTCAAATCGGTACTCTCGTTTCACAATCTTCCCCCTCGTGGTTTAACCACTTCTGTCTTTAAAAGAAAACAGAACAAAAGTACGAGCCGAAGGAACATACTATCTCTTATTTTAAACCGTTTCATTCCTTGTACACTATTCTTTAACGTGTCGGCCGGTATCGATTAATCGGAGTTTAAGATCGCGCGCAGGGTAAATCTACACGGGTTGCAGCTCCGTTTCAAGCGCGTAAAAAACGACATCAAAGAAACATTTTGTATTGTTTAAGAAGCTTCTATATAGACTTCGTGTTTTACGTGTTTATACAAAATTGTATGCGCAGGAAATATAAAGAATGCACGTAATGAATAAAAATTGATCAGATATCGTAATAATTAATGAGAGAAATTCTTATCTAAATATATTTTTTTTTTAATTGATACCATATATGTCTTCTTTTACAAAAAGAACTCCTTTATCATTGGATACTATATTTGGGACTTGGACTATTATGTGAAAACTATACGGAGTGCAATAATTGATGCGAGATAAAGATACAGCTATCAAGATAATTAAGCGTTCAATTAAAATGGAAAGCGGCGATACGTACCTGACAGGTGTGTAATAAAAAATAATAATGATCGAATTAATAACGAGATCGAGCGTCGGCATGATATCTGCTACACTTATTGCGCCGTGTATCGCAATATCGTTATTTTTTATGAGAATGGGCAATGAGTTCTTTTAATATTTCAATGACAGAAAGAACATCATCGAACTCCTTGCGCTTTTTTTTTTACTTTATTGCGTTCCTCCTCTTTGAGCAAAAATCGAGCAGACGCGCACGTGCATGGAATTAAAATAGAAGAAAGACGGATTAGTATGAATGATAGTTAGGGAATGTAAAATCGTGGCAACAGTTGTGGTTAAATACCCGAAGGGAATGGTAACGTCACTAAACCACCGATAACCCTTCATGGCCAACCGAATACGCGCACGTGTAGTGCCGCGCACGCTTGGAAATATATGTATATTTAATTACGAAAGTATTTGGTTCTCTGTAGTTATTAAATTTCGTGCCCCCTTCTATTCGTTACTAACATTCGAGATAAAGAGAGGAAATATTATATCTGACTGTTCCTTTTTTTCAAATTCTTGTTTTAATAAAGCAACAGTCTGGGGAAATAAGAAAATCTTTCGCCCCCTTTTTCTCTCCTTTAAACAGAGTCGTCTCTTTTAATTAAAGATACGCGGTCGCCTTCTATCTCCACGGTCCGTTTTAAACTGCCTTAAATGATAGCGCGGTTATGGTTGTTGGAGAGATAGAGCGAGAAGGGTGTTAACGGCGACATTGTCGTTTTATCCAAATCGGAGGGCAAAAAGTAAGAGAGAATAAGTCTTAAAGGAAGGTCACAGTGGTTTCTAAGTGGAGATAAAAAGAAATATATGTGAGGCACCATCTCCTGTGTGCAATTGCAGTAAATATTCGTTGAGATAAATTAAAATAAATGCAGATACAACAAAAAAAAAAATAGAAACTGCGAGTTAAGTGAAGACCTTAGATCATATTTTAGAATCTGAAAACCCTTTCTCTAATCTTTGTAATGAGAATACAACTTTCCGTGCCGTTAACACCCTTCCCTCGCAGTTCTTACAATCTTATCAACCTTGTCTTATCATTAGAACGACAGGAGGGATGCGATTTCTTTTTAAGTTCTGTCCGGTGACATAATTAAAATAAGGGAAAAGTGTAGGGAACATTTAAATGTGGGAAAAGAGAGAATAAAATGATTGACTTTTCCATAGTCCTTTCCATCTTGAACGTCTACCTCATCTCCTCGTACTTTAAAACTAAGAAGCAAATGAAACTCTAATCGTGACATGAAAATAGTATGGGGCCGTTTATTTTTTTCGGGAATTGTGTTAACACATCGCGAAGAGGTGCTCCTTCCCTCGCGAATTTATTTTCTCCTTTTCTTATCCTCTCTTCCTGCAGGGAATCCCTTTCATTTTCCCCTTTCAATTAGGTACGCTCGCAAATTTATGTCCGACTCCTACCAACCCCTTCCATTCGTTCTCTCGATATTCCGCATTCGTTTCTTTATTGAAAGAGACACCTTCTGTTGTTTCCTTTACAGCCCCGAAAGAAGTATTCGCGATGCAAAGTGGCAACGACCAGCGTGCCTTTAATATTTAATTCCGACGATTTCATCGTTTCGAAACGGTTATTGCACATTTTTCTCCGATATTAGATCAATGGATCGAGAATATTAAACAGTATAATATTTAGATTTAAAGAAAGTGTTCGTATAGCGTAGATTTAACAAATACAGGGTGTTTGCGAAGTCATGGTACAACCGGCAAGGTGCCTCACATAAAATCTAACCGAAAACAAGGAATATAGTTTTATCATACGAGGCGTCATTTTCGAGAAAATCAAGTTTAAAAATTCGTTAGGTACGCGTGCTTTTAGGCAGATTCTACTTTATTCGCCCGATCCAGCCCGCAATTCTCATTTCCGCTTACGTTTATAAACAATATAGAGACTCCTTGATCTGTGATAACTTGTTCGCTGTAATTTCGATGAAGTACTGGCTGTAGATCGAAATACCTAATAATTTGTAAAACTATCGTGATGACGAGCTGTACGAACCGTGAGTACACGGATACTCCTTGTTTTCGACTAGATTTTATGTGAGGAATCATCCCCTTGGCTGGTTGTACCACGATTTCGCAAACACCCTGTATACGTATTGTACACGTAATTTAAAAACAGACACATGAAATTATGTACTTCATTTAAGAATCTATTTACTTCGTTGTTTCAGCTAAAAAGAAGTATCCTTCGGATTTTTCTTGCTGCCCCGTGTGCGGCGTCAGCGTTCGTCCTCAAGAACTGGAACATCATTTCGCCCAGGAACTGGACAGACTGTTTAAGATCAGTGCCAATTCGCGTAATCGCATGTCCAGGTCGAATTTGATCCAAGGACATAACAGCCAGGATCACCCAGGACGAGGAGGAGGCATTATCTACGGAGATGGAACGCCACAGGGGAGGTGGGAGACTTACAAGAGGATTAGAGCTAATAGGCAGGTGAGTGACTAAATAAATGATCATTTTGTAAATCTGTATAAATAGATAAGCTGATTACGTACAATAATGAATATTCAGGCTCGAATTCGAATTAAAAACCGGAAACGCAAGGCTGGCGATCCTTGCTGTCCCGTCTGTAATGATCGCTCATCCGGCACACCCGAAGAATTAAATCAGCGTGTCGAGAACACCTACGGTCATCAATTGAACAAGCAGAACAACAACTGTAATGCAACTAATGTAGAAGAAGAGGAGATTGATGTGGAAGGCGATTCGGAAACTGTTGAGGAATATGAATGGTCTGGCCAGAGGGTTCGAGCGGGTACGATGCTTGTTGGAGGATTTTCTGGTAAGTTTATTTAATATACTGCCAGCTTAACATCTGTCGTCTGTTGGTTAATACAAGTCATGTGGAATTTTCAGCTGCGAGTCTTGCTACCTCTTCGACAATCCGGTCCTCAACCTCCAACCCTCAAGAAGACGACGAAATCGATTTAATCGTCGACGGTGATACGACAGACTTCGGATCGACCCAGTATTCCGAATCTGATACGATAACTCTCCAGAACGAACGCACCTTTAGAGAACACAAAGAAAGGGAGGCTCAAAGGGAAGCAGTTATGTCGCCGAACAATCCTCAAACCCCGGAACAGAGCGGTCGAACTTCAATAGAAATAAAAAATCAAAGTGGTCGAAGTCAAAGTTCCATCGGGATGAGAAGCCAAAATCAAAATTCGATCGGGATCAGGAACCAAAGTCAAAGTTTAATGGAAATTAGAAATCAAAATCAAATGGAGATTAAGAATCAAAGCGGCCAAAGTCAAAATACTGTTAAGATAAAGAACGAGCCCGGAATCAACAATATTTCGAGTCAAAATACCAATTTAAATTTGTGTATAAATTCAAATCTGAATTTAGATTTGGATTTAAGTAAAGATAGTGAAGGGGCGAAGGGCTTAACGAGGAGTCAGGGACCTGGTGGTAGCATCGAGAGGGAGGACAGGAGAGTCGGCGGGGGGGATGCAGGGGATGGGGTTTAAGCGTTTATTTTGTATGGTGAGTGAGTCGTTTTCTATAAAGTTACAACAATTTTAATTTGAGTTATATGATAACATTTTGTTATTAGGAACAACATAAAACCCCATTACTTCCGTCTACTGTTGGCACGTACACTACGAACGATGTTGGTTACACGCACTGGTAAGATAGAGAACATTCTTAACAGAACGATGATATACCTTATATGATATATATAAAGACATTCTTGCATTTCGAATCACTGAACATCCAGTATTTAGTACATACCTGATGTACTTAAAGAGCTTTAATGTCGCGACTCTTTAGTCTCCGAATGAAGGAGGTAAAAAACAATAAATGACAGGAATATCTGTTAAAATCACAGATAGATACGATTGTCAACAGGTCACACAAGGACAACCAGAGCACGAGTATTCAACATTCGTAATTGACCATCACCAATCTGAACAGAGTAAGAATATAACCAGAATCCTGTGGCTATAGGGTGAGCTATACAACAATATCCAATTCCGATTCTCATCAGATAGCTAACAACATTCAAAATCAATACGTTTTATTATATTGAATATACAGTGACGGACATTCACATGGGAAAACATCTAATACAACCCTAAATTCCCTTAGTTATACCAGTATAGATTAGATTCCTATTAACTGGTATAATATAACATTTAAGTATGGTATTCATACATAAATGAGCCGTAGGTAAAAATTTCTCCTACCAGAGATCCTACATGATGAATTTCCTTACTTGTACATGGTGCGCCCCAATATTCATGATATATCGAGGAGTAAGCGATACATGAAAAAATACATTAAAACTGTGAATCGTTCTTGCGTAGTTATCGAAGGATACGAAAGATATACAGAATATGTTTTAAATTTTACTTATTTTTTCATGCAATATCATACCCTTCTGGATCGTATCATGAATAGTGGAGCATTCTGTATATTCGAAATGTAAAACAATAGTGAATTGTAAATTAATATAAATAAACCGTTCGCTATATGTATGTAATATATTGTACGATTCAGAAGAGGAACGTTCCTCTAATGCGTGATCGCTGTGTAACCAGAAAAAAACTACCTCTAAATTCAATCCGTTTGTACTAATGACTTTTATTTGTAGTTATTATTTGTTGTCGTTAATAAACCATTCAAATCAGAAATTAGGAAATTATTAACAGTAAACGTCTTCGTTTCATTTTATCCCTAATATATACATTCAATCTCCTGTCTATAAGCTCACAACTAATGCACGCGCACATACTTTCGATTCACGAAAGTATAAGAAATACATGTTCAATTCTTAGACTATTATAACTTCATGGATTAAATAAGGTAAATCATACAATTTAATTAGATCCAGGAAGGGACGAATGTTGTTCTTGTATATTTACAATAAAGAATTTGTTCTGCGAAGTACGTAATTCATCCACCTCATGGCTATACAATAAATGTGAAAACTATTAATTAGCTTCTTTTTTTATGTTTTATATTCATTTTGGTGCCAAGGGCAAGCACATAGTAAATGAAGAAGGCAAGAATCCTATTCAAATACAATAGACCTCAGCAATGATTGTATTATGTTTGAGGGAAAATAACATGAATATTCATATTTTTATATGAAAAATAAGCAAGTATTAATACATAAGTTTAAGTATTATTGAAGAAGACAAACATTATAAAGATCAGGCCTATAGTCAAGTATCTTAATATAATTATAATTATGCTATATCAAATACAGATTCTAGAAGTACAACAAATAAAGAATGAGGCAACAAGAAATAAATAGATTTTTATACAAGTATTCCCTACCTATTACTTCCATAATGAGAAACATTCCCTAATTTTTAATTATAAACTACTGCTGCTATAGTAAGTATAATAATAAATTATATAAATGTGTGTATGTGAAATTACGTATTCTTCTGAAAAATGATATCTCATCGTCTTGTTTCTTAAATTTCCGTTTCTCAAATTAAAACTGAAAGTTTTGAAATAATCTTTTCGTATTTTAACGCCGGATACAATTCATTAGAAACTGATTCTTATTCCACTGCACCGTTATGTAGTGGTAGTAGAATTTGTCTAGAATTCGGCTGCATTTTAAGAGTTATGATATTCTGCATTAAACGTAAACGATTCTTATTTTTCTACGGGATTTAAAACAAATTCTGTTTGCTTTACCGTCTAAAAATTCAAAGGGGAGAGAATTTCGCACTGTTTATAAAGATATCTATTGCTCCCTCTACAGATGTCGCTCTTTAAGTAAATAAATGTATTGGAAATGTACATAAAACCTTATGTAATGGTTGGTTTGTAAGAACCACATTTGTCGTCCCGATTCTGTGTGCTGTGCAAAAATTACAATGTCCTTTAGCAGAGTAATCGTAAGTAATATTATTACATATTGGGTCTTGTGCGATATTCGAACAGTAAAGAAGTAAATCATTCGTACTAAAGTAAAACTATTCTGGTAACCAAGTTCTATTGATAAAATGAACACAATTAATTTACGAAGTAACTGCATCGATTATAAAATATTTTTCTTTTTATTAGGTACGATCATTTTCTAACAGCTCTGCTGTTCAACAAATGGTTAAGGTACATTTCATAAGAGTATTAAATATAAAATTATATAATGTATTGAAAAGTATATCTGTACTTTGCAAGAATCAAGTATTTCATTTCTATTATTTTCCTTGCTAGCCTCCAATTCAAGTATTTGGATTAGAAGGAAGATATGCCACAGCACTTTATTCTGCAGCATCAAAACAGAAGACATTGAGTACTGTTGAAAAAGATCTCATCAAGTTCCAAGTAGGTACAATACATCACTTTTCAGTATTCATAGAAATAAAAATTATTTTCTAACGTGTATTTGTATCATCTATTAGGATCTTATGAAGACAGATCAGAAGTTGCATGAATTCGTGAAGAATCCGTCAATAAGACGAAAAGACAAAGTGGAAGCACTAAAGGCAATCTGTGGAAAAATTAACGTGTCCAAGGAAACAGGAAACCTTCTAACTTTGCTAGCAGAGAATGGCCGACTTCCACAACTAAACACTATAATTAATACATTCAAAATATTAATGACTGCTAGCAGAGGTGAAGTAATTTGCGAAGTAACCACTGCCAAACCACTCGATGCTGATATAAAATCGAAGTTGGAAGGGGCATTAAAGGGATTCGTAAAGAAAGGTCAAACTATCTTGCTTACTACAAAAGTTGATCCTACCATTCTTGGTGGTATGATCGTAGTAGTTGGTGATAAATACGTAGACTTGAGCGTCGCCACGAAAGTAAAAAAATATACTGAAATTATTGCTGGTACAGTATAAGTAACTTTTTATAACGTTCAGTAAAATGAGCAAGGATGAAGTACTCATATAGCTGATGACATGTATGTCATTAAATAATAAATTATTCCAGTCCTGTTATTCCTATTAATATAGTCTATTCTTCATTTCACGAAACCATATTTAGACAAGAGTAATCTTTATTTATTTTTATATGTGAACATAAAAAAAGTGAAGAATGTATATATATATGAAAAATTAAGTTCCATTTTTTTGTTATGTATGTCCGGAATAATAAAATAATTTGTTTTAATGTCGGTGAATTTAAATGCAATCTGAAAATTACTTTTATTTAAAATACTTACAACGTTCTCGAAGTTCATGCGCATTTACAGA